TCCATGTTAGACATTGTGTTTTTCATTCTAGAAATTCCATGTGGGTCTTTTTTTTCTTCTCTAGATATAGCTCACGTGTTTGCTTAACTTCACTCCTCTACCTTCTTGACGTAGGAGTGTGTTATAGTAGTGACGGTGATTACAATAACTAGTTTAATTGCTTTGTCTACTAATTCTATTACCTGTGTTCTCATTAATGGGTCTATTTCTTTTGTTGTTGTTTTTTAATTTGAAAGTTTTTATTTTTTAACTATAGGCAGCTGTAAGAGGCTGAACATCTGCTGCTGTCATGGCCCAAGAGGCAAGAGGGCAAGTGATGGGAGGGGTTTTAGGGTCGACTTCCTGGGAGAGGCGCCCCTGTACCTTGCTGCACCCTCCCTGGCTCTTCTTCAGGGTTTGTTGATGATGGTGTTTTGAACAGTGTCACCAGGGGCATCTGGCTCCTCTTGGAGGTCGAAAAGCTGCCACAGTGTCTGTCTTTGGCTGCTGCCCAGTGGAAGTGCCCCATGAGCAGGAGCGCTGGCCCTGCCCTCCTGCGGCTGGCTGGCGCCATTATCTGCCGTGAGCAGGAGGCAGCCAGTGGTGCTGTCGTGTAGTACTGGGTCTGTTTCTATTAATTGATTTTTCCTCTTACTATGAATCATATATTCTTACTTTTTTGCCTGCCTGGCAGTTTGTTTTGGATGACAGACACTATAAGTTTAATCTTGTTTGATTGATGCTGGATATTTTTGTATTCCTCTAAATTTTCTTCAGCTTTGTTCAGTTAAGCCACTTATTAAGTCTGGGCCTTTTGGATCTAGCTTTTATGATATGGTGGGTCTGGAGCAGTGATCAGTCCAGGACTGATTATTTCTTAGTACTGAGGCAGGATCGTCCTGAGTTCTCTGGTTCTTCAGTCTGGCCTGTAGGCATAGCGCCTGTCTCAGCCCTGTGTGGATGCCAGGCCCTGGTGCCTCAGATCCTGTCTGACGGTCTGTTCCCGACTTGGGGGTGGTTTCCATAGCCACTTGCCGATCGGTTCCCTGGGGAATACTTGGGGCCCTCTGCTGGTCTCTGGATTATTTCTACGTGGCTCTTTCCTCTCTGGCATGCTGTCCTTTGATGTCTAGCTACCTCAGTTTCCCTGGATTCTCAGCTGTGTCCCCAAGTCAGGGAGTCTGCCAGGCTTCACCTCTGTTCCTCTCCCTGTGCTGAGCCCCGGAAACCCTCACGGTGCTCAGCTGGGGCATTTGGAGGCTCACCTGGCTTATGTCCTATCTTGGAGGGGTGGGGACTGGGACACTGTCCTTTGTTGCCTGATGTCCAGGGTCTTGAAAAGCATGAATTTGTGGTGTGTGTGGTTTTTTTTTTTTTTTTTTTTTTTTTTTTTTTTTTTGGTTTTTTTGGG